AGAGAGAGAGAGAGAGAGAGAGAGAGAGAGAGAGAGAGAGAGAGAGAGAGAGAGAGAGACTGACCTGCTTCTTGGGCGACGGCGGAGGCTGGCTGGTTCGGTGGCGTGGGCTGGACGATGGCGGCCGCTTGATGGCTCTTGGACGCTGGCGGTGGCTTCGTGTTTCGTCGGCGATGGCAGAGGAGATGCGACGGGCAGCAGCCGGCGGCTTCCGAACGTGCCCTCCAGACTCGAAAAACGGCCAGCTCGAAGTCCGAACTTCGAAAATGCTGGCCCTGCCTCCCGCCACCCCACCTGAGTCTGCACAGACTGTGGCGGGTCCGGCCTTCGACCTGTGTCCGGTAGGACCAGAAAAAGCCGAAAAATCGGCCTGGCATTTTTCAGGGGCCTACGAGGACCCGAAAAACGTCCTCCGAGGCCCCTATTTTTTTTCCGAATTTTCGTGGGGGAGGCCCGTTCCGGACGTCCAGGACCGGACACCGGACACCGGACCCCTGCAAAGTGTTTGCTGTTGTCTGGAAACCAGTCCGGACGTCCGGTCGGTTACCATGGATTATACGTCACGATTATTACTTTTTTTTTTTTTTTTTTTGCACTTCTCTTATGGGTCTTGTGACTCTTGTGACAGGTATTCACTGCTATTCGGAATTCATACCTCTTGGGGGCATCCTTAGTAAATTGAGGGTCTAAACCCTGAGTTAGGCATCGTAATTGCGCCATGGATGTCAGCTTAAGATGATTCTCACAAGAGTTTTCAACCGCAGAATGTCCCAAACGGGTACAGTAGGACCTGAGCAGGCGGTCCCCACCACATACTAGAGCGCCACATCTGGTGATACAGGCCACTTTTGCGACCTCTCTACCAGGCCACACGCTCCCGCATAGCTACGGACTACAGGGCGGGGGGTGCAACTCACCCCAGAGAACTGACCAGCGTCGTTCTGGCCTCGGCCATCCTCAGGCCGTTGAATGTGACGGCAGGGGGGTTGAAGTTTGAACCCAGCGCCTACTCGGTGCAACTCAGGCATGAAACCCGCTGAGCAAGGAAGGTAGGGGCCGGGGGGGTGATGTGTGGACAGGGAGGGTGTGCAGGGGGGGTGGGTGAGGGTTCATGTGAAGCCAGTGGGGTCATGACCAGTCGAATCCAGCTCATGTTGCATGGACATTCCCTCACTCCCCTTCCAAGGTAATGGGATGTATATGATTCCATTACTCATCAATTGAAGATGCCTGCATCCCTGGGGGGGGGGTTCCCAAGGAGGGCCCATGCTGGTGTCTGGGAAGTGCAGGGAAGTTTCCCGGCCAGCGTGGACCTCCCGTGCCACCCCCCCTGGGGATGGAGCCGCTAGCCACAGCAGGTTCAGCCCTTCGTTCTGTCTCATGCTCTCTTTATTTCTGTTTCTGTCTAAAGAAGACTCTAAACTTTGCTTGCCGGTAATGAGCAACCGGACTGGGCCCCCCCCAGCATAGATGGGGCAAGTGTGTTGTGTGTGGGTGGGGGGGGGGGAGAGGAGAAATGCCACAATAAATTTTAAAAAATGCCACAAATTCCAGAAGCCAAAACAATGCAAATGGACCACCTGCTGGAGATTTTGCTTACTGAAATATTTTGCATGTAGTCTTGTCCTCTCTCTACGTCTCCAACGACTCTGCTTGAGATCCTCCTTCATAAGCACCTCTGTTCATTTTACTCCCAGAAGCATGCCGGCTCTGAAATTTGCTTAAAGCAGGTCCAGTAGTACAATGGCACCTGGGCCGCGGACCCGACACCTTGAAATCTGGAAGCGCGAAACGAAAAGGTGACCGCCGATCCAATTTATCAACGGCAGGAAGGCCCAGCGTTTGACGTTTTGGCGTCGTTTTCTTGTGGCGACAAGTTTTGGACTTCAAGACTGGGGCCGTGTACTAGCGGTCTTTTAAACCACCTGTACGACGGAACTTCACAAAGTTCACATCATTGAGCCTCTCCTTAGCCTGACCCTGGAAGCCTGAATGGTCATGGGGGCGTGCCTACTACAGGAGGCTGCCACTGCCTGCCAGCCTATATCGTCTGGTAGGCCGAACTAGCCCGTACCCCCCCCGGCACAGGATATGAGTGAGGGGTTCATAGCGTGGGGGTGGGGGGTGTTAAATTGCCCTCTCAAAAAAATTATGCCTTGTATGGTTTGCCAAACTCCTCGGTGCCAAGCAGGGCTTAAGTTGGGGGGTCCCATTAGTGCGAAGCAGGGCTTAAGGCGGGGTCCCATTGGTGCCAAGCAGGGCTTAAACCGCAAGTACACGGGCCCAGCCTTGCAGAAAGTTTTTGTCACCACAAGCGAAACTCGGAGGGGCCGCGCGGCGTGGGGCGCCGTTGAAAAACAAAATCGGCGGGCTCCGAAGTGGTGCGGGTTTTGTGATGACACCCGCGGGCGGATGTGTGGTGTACTGGTGCTTTAAGGCGAGGTCCTACCGGTGCTATGCTTACGGCAGGAAAGCACGAACCTGGCCATCATCAGTTCCTTGCTCTCCAAGCATGAACATAGCGCCAGTGGGGCTGCGTCCTTGCTTATTTCTTTTGGAGGTCCTTGTCTGTGAAGAGCAAGTTTCAACGAGTCCTTTCTGAGGGTCCATGTCTGGGAAGAGCAAGTTCAACGACCTCGCTGTCTTGGCTGCCATCCCAGGAGTTAAATAGCAGGCCCCATTTTTGGCATGCTATGAAAACACGAATCCATCCGTTCTTCCATCCAGGTGCATGTTCTCTATGCGTTAAACAGAGCACCATCGTCAAACAGAGCTGCCCGGTAAACCATAGGCAGAGAGGGAGAACAGTATATACACATATATATATCGTCATAATCATTGTATAATATATATGCATTTCTGACTCTGCTTTGTAAATGTTCACCCAACTTCACCGTAGTCCAATGCACCTGACCACCACCTCCCCCAGCAGACCTGTGTGGGCCTTTCTATTGGACTACTTGTTGTGTGCAAGCGGAATCTTATGTCCACAGATGGAACAAAAGTTCACGAGAAGCTGGCGCCAGGGAAGAAGAAGAAGAAGAAGAAGAAGAAGAAGAAGAAGAAGAAGAAGACATCACCAGCCAGGCGAGAGGGGAGAGACAGTAGCCATAGCTAAGAAGGGCGCCTGGGCGCCATAGCCGTAGGACAGAGGAAGGGCGAAGAAGAGGGTGTTCAGGAGTTGTGAGGAAGAAGATAGACAGAGAGTGAGGGAAACCTACCCTGACTTGCCTGTTGACGCTGGTGGTGCTGAACTGGCAGTTTTTGCATGTGAAGACTGCTGGAGGTGTCAGGCACCAACCTCCATAGCCGAGCTTCGTTTCTGGAGGTTGGCCGTGTGGGAAGACAGCTGCAAGAGGACTTCATCAGCATATTCAGAAAGGAGCTGAGGGGGCAAGTAGTGGGAAGAAGGTCCCGAAAAAGAAGGGGGAGCTGGAGAGAGCGGTTACAGTTGCGATCACTGATCAGTGAATATTAACGAACCTTGTATATTTAAGTTTTTGACCAAATTTTATTTTTCCAATACTATAGGATATCCCCAAGGAGTAAGTGTTTTTTAAACTTTTTTTTAAACTTTTTTTTCTTCTTCCAATGAATGTACAACCTTCTCCTCCTCCTCCACCATGACACCATGAGGGTGGTCTACTGGATCCATTGCTGTACCTCTTACTTTGTCTCACTTCTGGTCACTCACTTTTGAAATCTTAGACTTTTCAATTGAGTTCTTCCTGACTTGTTCTTCATTGTGATTTGGTCCTCATTGAGTGTATTTTTACGACAATTCTTATCATTCTTTGCATGTTCCCGTAACCTGTTGTTGAAGCTTTTCTCATGATGGTTGGCTTCATTGGCCAGCTACATTTTAAAAAAAAAGGAAAAAAAAGATGGAACGTCGATGAAAAAGGTTAAAATTTTCCTTTTATTCTCTCTCTCTCTCTCTCTCTCTCTCTCTCTCTCTCTCTCTCTCTCTCTCTNTCTCTCTCTCTCTCTCTCTCTCTCTCTCTCTCTCTCTCTCTCTCTCTCTCTCTCTCTCTCTCTAATGAATAAGAAGAGTTCTGTCTTATTGGCAGCAGTTTTTAACTAAGTTAACGTTTTGCTGAGTTCTCAGTTCTGAAATCCTGATTACTTTTCCTTACTGCCGTTTCGGTTTTCGATTTTCTCTCTCCTAAGGTTCCCAACTCATGCACTATTATCCAAGTCCGCGGGAAATCATGGGAAGAGCCTCTGGTAAGGACCCCATCTTCGCAGCCCATAATGCTCTTTTTTTTCTAGGCTACCAGCCGGGCCGCCCGGGTCACCCTATTTCCTGGACGGCCCGGCCGTGCAAGGACCAGGGAAGGTCCTAGCAAAAAAAAAAAAAAAAAAAAAAAAAAAACTAAAAAAACTATGTTATGCAGAAAAATAAACCGAACAACTTTTGTCTCAGGGTCACATCGAAATTATTTACCATATTTAAAATGAAAAATAAAGTTTAAAAAATAGTTTTTTTTTTTTTGTTTTTTTTTTTTGGCCTGGCCGGGCAAGTGACCCCGGGCCACTCTGGTAGCCTAGCTTTTTTTTTGTTTTGTTTTGTTTTTTTCCCCTGCAACATGCGCCAATCTATTCGTGGGGTAATGGTAAGCACAAGCTGATCCGCATTTCTTGAAAGGAACAGTAGCTCAATAACTTTAGTAATCCGGACTACTAAAAAAAAAAAAAAAAAAATAAAAAAAAAATCCTGCTACAGTGCCAAGCACCAACCACTGTCTGCCACCCCTCAGCCTAACCTTTGACCAGGTACATGCTCTTCGTCTGTCTTCTGCTAATAGCCATCAGCTATGCGAACCCCGAACTCCTAAACCCGAAACCCCAGCTGCCGAACAGAACAGTTTATTATTGCCAAACCCCTCTTGCCAAACCGATGCCTAAGCCCTAAACCCTAATCCCGCACTCCTAAAACCTAAATCCTAAGCCCTAAGCCCCAATGGCCTGTCTCGGGCCCAGTATATAGTCTGGTCTTCTGCCAGGAGCTATGCACTCTGAACCTTAAACCGTAAAGGGCCTAAACCCTAAACCCGAGTTGCCCAACAGTTTTCTATTGCCCGTCTTCTGTCAGTAGCTCGGTAGGTACTCTAAACCCTAAACTCGA